CACCTCCTTTGTTGACGAAGTGACTGCCCAAGACATGCAAGCGGTTCCTGCTTTCTCTGGCAATAGATCAGAGGCGCTTATAAGTTAGCTGGGTTGGGCCAGACTGCGCAGCTAATGCGACGTACGCAGCATACGCTCCGTATCTTTATGCACGTGTGCGTATGCTGCCTATACCACATACACCGCGCAGTCTGGCCCAATCCTTAGTGCTACTGAAGGAAGCGATGCCGACATGGCGCCATCTGGCGTTGGAATTCCCACTGATGGAGGAACTGCAGAGGAAACTCTCTAGCATCGGCCCCAATGTGAGCGAAGACTTTACCGACTGTACCGGGGGATCTGCCAGCGATATGGCACAGAAATGAATCGTCTCGTCTTGGCAAAGTACATGAGACTTTTAACAACCATTATATGTTTCTCCTAACTGGCATCTGTGTGTAAGACCGCAAAGTCTATTGCTTCGGTGATCAATGTCTGAGATTTAGATATGTCACTTCTATGAATTTTGTTGTCTGCAGTTGGTACTACTTTTGGTAAATTATGTTGTCAAGCTTTTTTCGTTTGTCTCAGAAATGATGGTTGTTTGTGTGACGTAATTAGCCTATAGTATGATGTAGTAAAATTTGTTCATTCAGCAACAGAAGGCGTTGAGATCCTTTGGAGTTTTGAGCAGTTGCGGAATGTTATTTCACGCTACCTATCTCTTAATTGATTTTTTGTTTTTTTTACTCATGTAATACACTTGAAGTGCATCGAAAAAATGAGAAAAGACGAGTCAAACACCAGTTAGTCTCAAAACTCGAGGGAAATGATTTACAAAGGCGAAAGCATCACAATCAAAACGCTGTGGACTACTACAATACAAATCCGAGATACCACTTCAAATCGCTTTAGATTTTATGTCTCAAAAAGATCAGGAATACATCTCCAAGCACTTGAGAAGTCGTATTTCGCACATGGTAGCCTACACGATGTGATAACCAGGATGATGCAGCTTGGATGAGGTGGGAAGTATGGCAGGAGTCCTATGTGATAAACGGATGCAGCGAAGCCTCAGGTCCTTGATATAAAGCGTAGTGGTTTGACCAAGGGCGCTGTATGGAAGCCAATGCTGGCAGTGTAAGCGAGAAAAAGAATGGCGTAATGGGGACACGGATGTTAAGATGGATCCGAGAAGCTACAGACCATATCACGAATGACACGCTACGAAACATGACAAAGGTCGCGCCGTGGTACAGAAGATGCAAGAAAGACGCCCACGATGGTACGGACACGTGAGACGACAAGGCCACTAAGTAGACTAGCCATGTTAGTGAAGGTACCAGGAAAGAGGCCAGGAGATGATTAGATGCTATGACTAGACAGAGTACAGATTTGAAAGAACACGAATTGGAGGACACTAATTCTTGAACCGAGAAGAATGGAGATAACTTATGAGAGCAGCAGTCCTGCATGACGGGAAGAATGCAAGGATAAAAACGTCTTGTCTTAATCTATTCAGCTATTGAATCAGTGAGTTATCCTTCAAATACTTTGAGAATACATCGTTGAATATACCTAGGGCCTCGGTTCACGCTTTCTTTGCATGAGTCAACTGTTTGCGTCTCATAGAATTTCTTCATAGACTCTAGAACACCGAGAAAGTTTGACCCATCTGCACAATCTTTACAATGGATTCTGTTTTTGATTTCTGTTCCACACCAGATTTTATGATTTAACAGTTTTTAGGCCTCTGACAAAATCTGTGTAGTCAACGTTCTACTGCTATAGGCCGTCCGCGCAGGGTGTGTACCGCGCGTCACTCCTCTTTCCTCGCGCCCTCTCGTCGCTTTTTTTCTCTGCGCCTCTTTCATGAACTGTCTTCAATGGACGCAACAGCGTTGCTCTCCAAGCACCGCGCGGACGGTCTACAGCATCTCTTACGTTTGGATTAGATCTGGATTTGAATTACAGTGGTAATTTCGATTGTGCTCGAAGAGCATTTCGAAAGCAACCGCGAATTTCCCCAGACTGCGACTAATGAGTACCGCAATCGACGCAAACGGAAGCGAAGAAAAAATGTTTAATAAACGCAGTATTTTTTATGTGATTCTTTAGATGGATCAATTGCGGTTGATGTAGCCAGTTGTGATTGAGAAACTTTATGGCTTATCATCGCGTGTTGGTGGAGATGAACGACGGTTTCGTTGGTGAATGGTTGTTGGCTTTGTGTGGCCTAACAACGACGCTGGTCGATGGAGATACAGTAGATGTCGTAAGGAGACTTCAATGGAAGTTTTGGATGCTTGAAAAGACACTCGTAGGCGATCGTATGATGTGGGCACCAGCGAATAAA